CAGCTTGGGCCACCCAGGACAGCTCCAGGTGCCGTTGTCCTCTCTGATCCCGATTTCCCTGGCGATTTCCTGCACTAACCTTTGCCTCTTGCCTCTCCAGCCGGAGTTTCCCTGCGCTGGGCGGCGTGAGGAGGCAGAGCCTGGCGGCTCGGTGGCCCCAGGCCGCGGGGCTGGGGCTGGGGGTGGCCCTGTGTGCTGTCCCCGTGGCAGAGGTAACTCCCTGCTGCTCAGTTTGACGTTCAAACCCACTTGTTTAGCATTGTACAGGCTCACTCAGGGCTTTCCCTTACCTGTGCTTTTGGCTAATATCCGTAGGGAAGGCAATGTAGACGTCATGGGAATGTCTTGTCTTCCAGCAGCAGAACTCCATGTCCCTCAGTAACGATGCCTTGATCAAGAGAGCAGTGTCCCTGGTGACAGACAGCACTGCCACACTCCTGTCCCAGACCACCTATGCCCTGATTGAGGCTCTGACAGAGTACACAAAGGTAAGCTCAGAGCTCACACACCTGCCTGGCAGCTCGGTGCTGGGAATACCAGCTGATCTGGCACTAGCTGCACCTGTTAAACTGAGCTGAAAATGGAGTTTTGCAAGATGAACTCAGTCAGAGATGTGGGGCTGAGGGTGAGTCCTTATTAGTACAGCAAGTGCATGAAGAGCAGTTTTGCTAATTAACATCAGGTAACACTGGGACAGCATCAGAGCTGTGCAGGCTGTCATGTAACTGTGTGAAGTGATTCCTTCACAGGCAGTTTATACCCTGGTGTCTCTCTACAAGCAATACTCAAACCTTCTTGGGAAAATGAACTCGGAAGAGGTGGATGCAATCTGGCAGGTGGTCATAGGAGCCAGAGTTGATGTAAGCCCTTGTCTCCCTTCTGTTAGCAATCTGCCTCTCCCAGCCCTGCTCAGAACACCTCTCCCCAGGGCACTGTGTGGAGCAGCTCTCAGGACTGTCACACCTGGTGAAGTAACTCTGTGGTTTATTTTGCAGGAATACCTGAGGCTGGAATCCAGCTGGATGACAGCACTGAGGCTGTCAGAGATGGCAGCAGAGGCTGCGTATCAGTCAGGTGAGCACGCAGAAACACTGAGGCTTTCTTTTCCCTTTGCCCTTATTGAATGAGATTGAGGGACACAGAATTGAGAGAAACAGAACATTCACTCAGGTAACACACCAGTCCACAGCCAGTGCCTGACTTACAGCTGCTAAGAACTTACACTGTTTTTTTACAAGTGCAGGAGGTGCATTCTGAGAACTTGGCCTGGAAACTTCACATGTGGTTTAGGTCAAAACCAACCAAGATCAAAAATGTTTGAGGGAAGAGTTTAGTCATTTTTCAGTGCAGGGTTCAAACCCAGTTCTGGGAGCTGCAAAACTGAGGCTGCCAGGGAGTCCTGCAGGGCTTCCTAGCTGGATTCAGCTTTATTAAAGAAAGGATACTAATATGGGCCTTTTCTCTGTGTAGAGATTTGGTAGCTCTGGGATTGAGTTTTGGGCTGGTTTATGGTAAATTGGCACTGGAGTGGAGAAGAGAGGGAAAGCAAGGAGTACACAGGGACACCCTAACTCCTGAAAACGACCCAGAGTCTGTATTCAAGGAAGCAGTAGAATCTCAGAGCAGACAAACTGCTGTCTGAGGTGAATGAATGGAGCGTGAGCAGAGCCCAAGAGCCATCAAAACACAGCGAAGCAGATGCTCATTACAGTAATTTCCTTAATGGCAGGTTTGCTGTAAGGCAGTGTGTTCCATGCTTCCCCTCCAGGTGCAGACCAGGCCTCGGTCACAGCTCGCAGCCACATCCAGCTGGTGAAGTCCCAGGTGCAGGAGGTGAGACAGCTGTCCCAGAAAGCAGAGACCAAACTCGCTGAAGCTCAGACAGAGGAGCTGATAAAGGCTCAAGGAGAGGATTCGTTGCCTCAGGGTGTTCTGGGCAGTGTGGACTCGGGGGATGACCCTTACCTTCGGGAGGACTGAGGAGAACTGAGGTGTACAACGTGTGACAATCACAAATTGAACAGTCCCAAACATTTCGGGTGTGGGACAGTGGAAAACTACTGAAACAAACCCATTATTCCATTTTTTCCCCCCCAAGCAGAATTGTTTTACAAATCAAGTCACTTCCAAGTACCTGGAAAGCCTTGACCCTGTTTGTTACTTACCTTGTTTGTAATCCTTTTAGATTCACTTATTTAAGTGTTTATCTATGCAAATGTGACATTGCTGTCAGGGTGTGAATTGTGTCCCTGCTGGAGGGTCCTGCTGCTGCAGGGTGTGCTGGGAGAGCTGACCAGGCATCGGCCACAGGAGTGTCTCAAGGCCCTTGGTTTTAGCAGGTGAAGTAAGTGATGTCTGTGAGGAGATGCTCTTATTAAACTGCAAAAGCATCTTGCTGTGGGTGTGCCCATTTGGGCAAGAGATGAAGTCCTGTTTTCTGTTTGAATATAAAAGACTTAATGTCATAGTCTGACCAAGTGACACTGAGCTGCAGTGGGAGAAATATTTGCTGTAGAGCTGAGAACCTTCCCTGGGGTTACTCCTGCTCTTGGTGCAGTTCTACAGTTCAGCACAGCAACATCTCTCACCTAAGAGTCACCACCTGGGATGTTCCCCAGGAAGCAAAGAGAGGTTTGATTTTCTAGATACTGTGGTTATAAACAAAACTGTTGTGGCAACTGCTGCGTGCCTTCTGTGCAAAGCAGTGAGCAAAGACAAGTGTTAAACATGGCAATGCTTTCCAGCACAAGTTTCAGGAAAATAATTCTCTGGTTTAGTAAGCTTAACATTTCACTGCAGAACCACACTGTGTTCATCTTCTGCCTCCACAGCTAATGTGACATTTGCTTTCTAGAACAGCATCCAGTGAACTTTGTCACTGCTGACTGGAGCCAGTTAATCCCCATTTGTCAGGTTTTGTAGGAAAACACACATTAGTCATAGGGGGTTCACCACAAGTTAGCATCTGCTGCACTGCCTCTGTGTTAAGGTTGCTGTTACTCAGTTGTGTCTGACGAGGAATTCTCTGACCTGCAGCATGAACTGTCTCTCACTTTGCCTCCCTTAGACGAGTGCAGGCTCAGCTGCACAGCACTGTACAGCTACAGGTGAAGTAGTAAAAGAACTAACAAACCACCTTGCCTTGCTCCTCACTGGGTGCTGCTGTGTCCAAGCAGGATGGCAGTCTGGAATTAGCTCAGAGGAAGCTGCCAGTGTCTGCTGTGCCTGCAGTCACATCCCAAATTCAGCTTTGGGCTGGAGCATTAGGGAAAAACCACTAAGATAAGAGGATTATGTGAGCATAGACAAGCCCTTGGTCAGCCTCTAACCACAACTGCTCTCCTTTGGTACCTGCTGCAGCTGAGGAACCCGAGTGCACATGGAAGTTGTGTTCCTTTCAGGGTGCCACAGAACTCTGCTCAGATGTTTGCATGGCAGAGACACAGACTGAGACAGATGACCACTGCCAGAAGCCTGCAAAGCCAGAGAACACCTTCTTCCCCTTTCAGAGCCTGCTCCCAGCCCCTTGTCCCTCCACTTCTCCTTTCACTGCATGCCCTGAGCTTCCTTCCCAAGAGCTGTGCACGTCCAACATGACGTGACAGGAACCAACTCCTCAGCTCAGCCAAGTCCAAGTGGGATTGAGGAGCTGCCTCCAAAATGGGGCAGAAGAAAGGCCCTCACTGTTTTTAGGAAGGGAGAGTTGCCAGTTGAGGGTTAGCCCACACACTTAAGCCCACAACAGACATGACATCACCCTCTACATTATGTCACTGAGTTTGCTTTGGGAATCATGGAGTGGATCAGAAAAATGCTGCCACAGCAGCTCACAGGGTACCACAGTACCTGCTCTCTCCACTCTCTTCTCTGGGACAAGCAGCAGTGCCCAGGGAGTTGTGCCCACAAATTGGGGGTTTGCTGCTGAATTCAGCCTTGTTTACAAAGCCAGCACACCTGAAACTACACACAGGCAGTTTCTCAGCTGCAGTAATGAAGGTAGGGCTGCAGTGAGAAGGCACAGCAGCAGCTGCACAACCCACACGAGGATGGACACACACAGGGTCACCCCTCAGCAGAACAGTTCTTGTAGACAAACCCCTACTGACACGTGGCACAGAAACAGCTCCAGAGTGGCACCTTCTGCTGCGAGAGCCTGTGGGGCTCAGCCAAGCTACACCAGCTGCTTCAAACAGCCAAGACAGCACATCCTGCCTGAGGCTGTGCAGCTCCCTGACACCCCACCGAGGGCTGGGAGCCTGTCCCAAGAGCTCCTCACCCCTCCCATCCTGGGGTGTCCTCAGTGTCCCTGTCTGTAGTACAAGCAAGAACCTTCTGGAAGCACTTGCCTGGCACCTCTGAAAGCTCCAGCTCCCACCTGGGGGGTGGTGAGCACTGGGCAGCTGGCACTACAAACAGCAACTACCACAGCACCCATGACTCAGGTTGCTGTAATCACACACTTCCTCTCTGCCCACTACCTTTTTCCCCTAGAGCTGCCAGGATGAATCCTGCTCACACACAGCACAGCAGCTCTGATCCCTCAGCACAGCGCCCTGACACTGGTAAGATTCACACAAGTATCACCAGAGCTTAGTTCCACAGTTGCTCTTTCATCAAATTAGGAACTCCAGCACACTCTGATTAATCAATCTATCGGTGCAGCTTGCCTGGACAGGGCAGGGAACAGCAGCTGCTCACAGGAAAGCAAGTGGCAAGTAATCATTTTCCACATAGCCTTGTCCTCTTTCATAACAACGACTCCTTAATGCACATACCCAGCACCAGGTCTCAGCCTTCCCTGCCTCTTAGGGCTCTTAGCTTTCAGGAGACACAAGAATATTCCTGTGGAAATAATTTTCAAAACTCTATTTTATTTGTACCCAGCATTGCAACAGCAAAAACCCTAACACCTCCCACACAACATGAGATGCTACAGCCACTCAACCCACCACTGTGATTAGTCAAGGCACATTGCTCCTCTCAAACCCAATCAGAAAGTGTTTGTGCAAAAGTTTCCAGTGCAAGTAAACATGTAACGAACTTCTGTAGAAGCCAAAGGGCTTGAGTCAGACCCCAGACCCTTGGCTCGCGCGCTGTGCTAGGGCAATACATTTTTGAGACTCTTTATTCCCCACTGCACTCCCTTGCTCCTGCTGCTGGTAGGAGCTGTGGGATTGCTGCCCAGGGACAGCAGAGCTGCAGTGGACCCAGCAGCACACACTGGCCTTTCTCCCACTCGAGTCATTTCAGGTGCTCTGTCACTTGTTAGTCATCACTGGCCTCCCCACACGAGACCAACGTGGCTGGTGGCCCCTCACTCACAGCCCCGTGGCAGTTGTGACTTCCCCTGGCTCCAGTCTGGCTGGGAGGAACCAAATCTGCTGTGCCATGTCTCACTGAGCTACCAGCTCCATCTGCACCCCATGGCAAATCAGCTACCACAAGTAACCCCCAACAGGAAAAGACTTACTGCAAACCAAACCCTGATGGCTCCGGCGCAGACCGTTAGTAACGGACACGTTCCCACCACAACCTGATTCTTAGTTTAAGTGGCCTCTCTCAGTCACCAGGCACAATCCTGCTGTGCTCATCAGTAGGTTCCTTTCCAGCCCCTGTAGCTGTGTGTCACTGACACCGCACACCTAATGCTCTCATCCTTCACCAGTGTCCACATGATCCACAGCTCCGCTGGGTTGAGTTTGTGCACAATCATCAGCTCTTTGTACAAACACGGATCAAAAGCATTGAAAGGTCTCTGGATCCCAAAAGTCTTAAAGCCGGGGTGGTTCTCCGGGGTCACCGACATCTTTGCCAGACACATTCCCACAAAGACATCATCTATTGGGAAGAGCTCCGTGCCCTCCGCGGTGCTCCGGAGGCGACGCACCGTCTCTCTGGACATCACGTAGCCCCCTCCTCCCGCATAGAGGGGATAGAAGGGAGCTCCATACATGGACTCTGGAATGAAATACTTGACCTGGGTGTTCCTGATGGGACGAGCGTTGGCAATCACATCCCCAACGAACAGATCCTGTTCAGGGTCCAATCCCTGGAGGAACTCGACAATGTTGTAAGTGTTGACAAACACGTCGTCATCGCCCTTCAGCACAAACCTGGTGTGCAGACAATCCTCCATGAACCAGCGGAGGAAATGCAGCTCCTTCAGGGTCAAGTTGAAGAAGTCGTCCACAAAATCCCACTGCAGGATGTCACCAAACTCCTGGCTCTCGTAAGCCAGCAGCTGGTGCAGGGGCTGCACCTGGACTTTGGCCTCGGAGCGCCCCAGGAGGAACACCAGCTTGATGTGTTTGCCCCCGATGGAGACCTCCTTCCCCCAAGTGTTCCTGATTGCCACTCGCCGGTCGATGTTCATTGGGGAGGACTTGATTGCCAGCAAGAGGAACATCTCTTGGCTGCACCTGGAAGGCTTCAACAGGACCGAGAAGTTCCGGCAGTGCGGTGGAGCTCCGGGAGGGCGAGGGAAGAGTTGGCCAGGGTCAAATTCGGCAAACACTTGCTGGGTGCAGCATTGTCCAGCACCGGCGACTTCGGGCTGTGATTCTCCTCATCCCCTTTGCGGTTCGCGGGCGACGCTGCCAACTTCGCCTGTTTGTTCACGTAGAGCAGCCAGGCGAGCAGCGAGACGGACACGGTGTAAAGCGCCAGGCTCTTAACCCGGGGATACATGGC